CCTGGGCTGGATACGTGCAATGAACATTTGTGTTGCTGCAAAGAGTCTCCCCCTTTGGGGTCTTTTTGTGTGGGTCGGAGGGGGGCAGAAATTCTGACTTAGGGTCTGCTTCAGCCTCCTGGTGCGGGGCTTTGAGTGAAGGCTGGAAGGAAGCACCGCTGGTGGCAAAGAGCCGGAGGACCTTGTTCCAGTGGGACAGCCTCATGGCCCAGAACTGGCTGACCATCTCAGCCCACTGAGCCTCCAGGGACTGGTACCTGGTCTTGCACTCCCACAGTTTTTCCCTCTGCTTGGAAAGCCTAGGCTCATAGTCCTCAGTGAGGTGCTTCTGCTGAGCCTCCTTCTTGGTCAGATCCAATTTGAACTGAGCTGTTTTGCCAACTCTTTCTCGTGGTGGCTGTTTAGCTCCAACAACTGCTTCCTGTTGGGGCCCTAAGGAGCCTGGGCGGGGAGGCGAGGAGTTGGCCATGCCCACCCAGTCATATGACCACCTAGCCACGCCTACCCAGCTGGTCATTAGGCAGATCATATTAGTGGTCCGCGGAATTTGAAATTATGAACTTAATGGTCCCTGAGGTCCGAAAGGTTGGTGACCCCTGTCCTAGACAGTAGTGGGTTTCACTTACCTTCGCTACCAGTTTGGAACTGTGAACACACGTGTGCGTGCTTTGCTTGCGTGCAGTGCTTCTGCGCATGCACAGAACCTTCTGCGTCCGTGATGATGTCCGGGTGGATGGGTGGAGCCTCTCGCCACCGCCACTACCAGTTTGTCCAAACCAGGGCACACCAGTAGAAACCCCTCACTGGTCCTAGAATGTAACACTAGGCATTGCAACGCGTAAGCTTCCAATTGATGCCTTTTAATTCAAACCAACAAATTAAGGGAATCAAACTCAGATAAGTCCTAGGCACCACGTTTCCTACTGTTCTCAGAGAGTGGCATCATACCTGAATCCAGTTCTAATCTTGCAGCTCCCTAATTAGCCTCTGAAAAGCAGGTTAAACTCTGAGGATTCATTGGCTGGCCCTCCCTTGGTTCCGACTTCTCCGGGATGAAATTAAGTTTTCTTGAATTGACAGTGCCTTGGTTTTCATGCAGCTTTGAAGGAGACAAAACAGAGCTGAAGATGAGTCAAAACAAAAGACTCAAAATTCAAGGTAAAAGAGAACCATTATGAAACAATATCTTACCCATGAGCCATCCTTCCTTTGACTGAGATGGAAACACAGGCCTCCTTTCTTCCTTTGGGGTGCAGTGCAAGGTACAAACCTGTCATCCGAGAACATTTTCGTTAAACCCGGACGTCATCACGGACGCTCTTTCTCAGATGTCAAACTGTGACTAAAACAACAGCCCCAAAGAACAATGGCCCAAGGCTAACAGACAAAGAAAAGGTTTTTTAAAAAGATGTTTTCACCATCCCTGGAGTCCTTGGACCGTTGTTCTTTGGGGCCGTTGTTTTAGTCACAGTTTGGCATCTGAGAAAGATGTCAGGGCTCTCCTTTTTACCTTACTTTTGAAGGAAACAAGCCCCTATTTTCAATAAGAGAAGGAAAACAAAGAATATCAGCTTTAAATAAAATGTTCTCTCTTCACAGAGACAGCAGTGGGGCAATTGCCTTTGGTTTCCCAAACACCCCCCCCCCTTTCTTTCTTTCCCATTCCTCTTCACAATAGAAACATTTAAAAGTTGGAAGCAAGCTTTTAAACAAAAGAAGGAAATCACTCAGCTATTGCCGCTTGCTTTATCTCCATTTCCATATTCTATCAGGTTTTGTAGAGCACCGAACACCTGAAGGAAATAAAGTGTCTGAGTTCACGTTGGTCAGGCATAATGTTGTTTCCTGCTTAGCAAGAATTGAATGTGGTCTACGAAAGGTTAGATGGTAACGTCTGTGTTAGCCACTACTAAAACTGTCATAAAAATTTGTGGGTTTTTTTATTAATCCAGTTATCTTTACAAAATTACATAAAGCCAGGGACTAGGATTTATTTTGGGTTAAGACTTACCAGTAGTCTAGGACAGTGATGGTGAATGTTTTAGGCACTGAGTGCCCAAACTGCGCGCATGCCCAAACAGAAAGGTGCCCTCACTTGTGCAAACATGTGTATGTGCAAATGTGCACATGCACAGACATACACAGGCATGCGCAGTCATGCGTGAACCTGTGCATGCACAGACATGTGTACATGCACAGCAGGGACCCAAAGACCAGCTGGCCAGTGGGAGATGGGGCATCCCAACACCGGTAACACAGCAGGAGGTGAGATCTTTTTCTTTCATGAGCTTCTGTTTCATCGTTTGCAGGGAAACAGAAGCTCACAAAAGAAATGCCACGGAGATCTGAACTGGGATGACAGCATGCGTGCCAGCAGAGAGGGCTTTGTGTGCCACCTCTGGCACGCGTGCCATAGATTCGCCATCATGGGTCTAGGATGTTAACTTAGCCAGTTGTGACTGAATCAATAAACCGTGGTTAAGCAAAGTAGACTAATGCAATGTGTTTACCCATTAATTGTCTTCTGGAAACGAACCTTGTAGAGTTTTCTTCGTTTGGTGTCCTCAAGATACTTTTGGTCTACAGTTGCTAATATTTCTACCCACCATGACTGGGAATTCTGCAGGTTACGTTTTTTACACACCTACTTAGAAAGGCTTTACATTGGGAAAGATGCATCAAAATCAGAAGATAGATTTGTATATAAAGATCGTTCCAGCATGGCTGTGATGAAATCTAAAACTTCCAGGCCATATAAAACAGAAGATAAAATTTCTGAACACATTTTCAAAGCAGAGGCAAAGAGCTCTGCCATAATGATAATGTAATAATGTTGGAAAATCACTTAAACATGAGCCAGCAGCGTGCAGCAGCAGCCAAAAAAGCTAATACAATCCTTGGTTGTATAAACAGAGGCATAGAATCAAAATCACCCGAAGTATTAGTACCGCTTTATAAAGCCTTAGTAAGGCCACACCTGGAATACTGCATCCAGTTTTGGTCACCACATTACAAAAAAGATTTTGAGACTTTGGGGGAAAAAATGCAAAGAGCAACTCAGAGGGTTAAAGGCTTAAAGACTAAAACATATGAAGAATGGTTCCAGGATTTGGATTTGACTAATCTACAGAAAAGAAGGACTAGGGGGGACATGATAGCAGTGTTCCAGTATTTGAGAGGCTGCCACAAAGAGGAGGAAGGGGGTCAACTTATTTTCCCAAGCACCAGATAGTAGGAGAAGAAACAATGGATGGAAACTAATCAAAGAGAGAAGCAACCTGAAATTAAGGAGAAACTTCCTAACAGTGAGGACAATTAACCAGTGGAACAGCTTGCCTCCAGAAGTTGTCATGCTTCATCACTGGAGGTTTTTAAGAAGAGACTGGACAGCCACTTGTCTGGAATGGTATAGGGTCTCCTCAACGGTGGGATTCAAGTAATTTAACAACCGGTTCTCTGCCCTAATGATTTCTTCCAACAATCAGTTTGCCAAACTGCTCAGAAAGTTAACAACCGGTTCTCCCCAAGTGGTGCAAACTGGCTGAATCCCACCACTGGGTCTCCTGCTTGAGCAGGGGGCTGGATTAGAAGACCTCCAAGGACCCTTCCAGCTCTATTCTGATTGAGTTTAGAAAGAGTAACACACTACCACAATGACTGCATGATGTTAGAAGATGTTTTTAGATATTAGCATGGAGGGCATATCCTTAGCGCATACAATATAATACATTGTTGTGCTGCACTACAATTGTACATTTGCAGTACAAATTTGGATGGTTTTTGCATGCAAACCCAGTAAAAGTATCCTGCGTAGCATTCATACAAGTAAGATAAATCAATTAGCATGCTTCAGTTAACCGTAGATTGGTGTGTTATGTGAACATAGTCTGGTTAAAAATCAATACAAGCCCAGTTATACTGTGGGCAAACGCCAGCATTGGTCATGATTCAAACTCAGTCAGCGCAAGGGCTGGATATTGAATGTATTTTGAAGCATGTTGGGGGCACAGAGGGCATTCTAAGTAGAATCCTATTGATCCAACTAAATTTGCTGTTGCTGAGAACGATCATTCTGCTGTGCTTATTTAGAAGGGATTAAGCAAAGCAACTACCTAAATGAGGAAGCTTTTTAGCACACAGAAGTGGTGGTAGAGAGCTTAGAGGCACAGAAGACTAAGCAAGAAAGCAGGTGGTTAGGAAATTCAAGTTGCCTAAAAATGGGAATGCAAGTGAAGTGTTAATACCACTTTATAATGCCTTGGTAAGGCCACACTTGGAATACTGCATCCAGTTTTGGTTGCTATGATGTAAAATAGATGTTGAGACTCTAGAAAGAGTGCAGAGAAGAGCAACAAAGACGATTAGGGGATGAGGCTAAAACATATAAAGAACGATTGCTGAAACTGGGTATGTCTAGTTTGATGAAAAGAAGGACTAGTAACAGAGTTGGAAGGAACCATTGGAGGTCATCTAGTCCAACCCCGTGCTCACACAGGAAACCTATACTAGGGATTTGAACCGCCGACCTTTCTGAACAACAAGCTCAGCGTCTTAGCCACTGAGCCACCTAGGAAGCTGCCAGTGTTTCAATATCTCAGGGGCTGCCACAAAGAAGGGGGAGTCAAGCTATTCTCCAAAGCACCTGAGGGCAGGACAAGAAACAATGGGTGGAAACTAATCAAGGAGAGAAGCAACTTAGAACTAAGGAGAAATTTCCTGACAGTTAGAACAATTAATCAGTGGAACAACTTGCCTCCAGAAGTTGTGAATGCTCCAACCCTGGAAGTTTTTAAGAAGATTGTGGATAACCATTTGTCTGAAGTGGTGTAGGGTTTCCTGATCAGATTGGATAATGAAAAGCATGCCCATAATTTTACACCAAGGCTACTGAATGAAGTCAAGCCCCTTTCAGCTGTAGACAATTTGAAACTGTGGGTGATAGGTAGAAACTCAGGCTTCATTAAGTGCTAAAATTTCATCTGGGTCATTTTAATCTGCAGGTGCAAACTGGGGAGGCGTCATGCAATTCTCTGCACTCTGGAAATGAGGTGGCATTCAATCTAGCCCTTTTCTTGAAAAGCTTTTCTTCACCGACAAGGAATCAGCTTGTACTGAGGAACATTCAATCAAGTGAATTACCACCTGCTGACTGACACGATAGAAGATCCATGACCAGGTGCCCCTCCTGTAATTGTATTTTCTTATTACAGAGAACGGTTTGAAGGTGGGGCTCTTTCCCTCAGGAAGGATAGCACTGGGTTGCCCTTGCTGCAGCTTTTTAAGCAGAGGCCAGATGGGTCAGAAGTCTAGGACTTTCAGCCTTTGTTTTGGAATGCAGAAGAAGGTTGGAGAAGGAGATATCTATGTCTCTGACTCCTTTTGCACCACACACTAAATTGCAAGATGGCCAAGTCCATTTTAGCTTAGAGCAGGGGTATTTGGCCTTGCTGGCTGAGGAATTCTGGGAGTCGAAGACCACAAGTCTTCAAGTGGCCAAGATTGGACACCTCGGGCCTAGAGCATTGGGTGAAGTCAACCCCCATAATTAATTCATGGTTGTCTATGTTGAGCATTGAGTTGCTTGGCTTGGCCAGCGATAGACAACTATGTCCTTGTGTACACAAGCCCCCAAAGTTGCAGCAAAGTGGTTAAGAAGATGAAAATATTCTAATGCTTTCCCCCACCTTGGCTTTTTTCACACAACTTGCTTTATAGCTCAGTGTATTAGTCACATGCACTCAACACACTAGAGTTTGTTACCGTTTTTTGTGGCATGCACATACAAATGCAATCTGTTTGGTTAACCGTGCAATGCATAAAACAAAGGCAAAGAATGGATTGATTCAATTAGCAGATGTGATTGGCTGATGGATTCTGGGATTGAAGTCCACAAGTCTTAAAGTTGTGAAGGTCAGATGCCCCTGCTCTAAAGATAAGGGACTGCAGTATGGAGGTAAGTTGTAAGCAAACGTTGGGAAACATTGTGCTCCTTGTCTTCATATTGTATCTACTGCTATCACAAAACCCAACTTCTAATTCTGGGTCAAGAACCAGCATCCTACTTAGGGATCAAATTAATATTGAGGGGAAGGTTGCACTAGATTGGATGAAGATGCTATATCAGAGACCTATAGCCAGGATTTTGTGTTTATTCCCATAAGAGCTTGACTCTTTTTAAAAAAGAAACAATGTGCTATATATATATATTTGGGTTTCCACTATAGATTTTGCTTAGTTGTCAGGATGTCAAGATGAGAAATAGGATCACAGTTCATTCAGTGCATAGCACATAGCTTGGTGCACAAACATTTATTTATTCACTCTTCAGCTTTATTCCTCCCTTCAACCACAACACCCATTCTTTCTTTTAACCTTAAAGGATACCAACTGTAGGACAAGTCATTAATAACAGAACTGAAGCACGTTTGACACTGCGGCCACTTACAGAAATTATCATACATAGCAAAAGTTGTTCAAAAATATTTTTAGTAAGAGAGACAAGGCCTTTGTTATACCTATGCATCATTCTTTACAAATGATACCAGTCTGAGCATATTTAGGGCACAATCAAAGTCCAGGTTTTCTCTACACGTGATTATGCTATTTGATGCTAGCTAGGATCTCTAATCTATAGACTACCTACCAATATACTATTGTCTATATTCCACCAACTGTGAGGTACATGTTGTCATAGTTGGATGGAGTTTGTGAGATCCACAGAAAGGAAGTGAAGTCTAATATGGATATTCATCGAAGATATCTGAGCTATCATCTTGTCCCATTGGGACTGGCCCGCTCCAATCCTTCTGTCAGTAGGGGCCTACTGTGGGCCTCATCAACCAAGACATTTTGGCTAGTGGGGTCTAGGAGAACAGACTTTTCTGCCACAGCTCCTCAAGAACATCCTGTCACTAGAGGTGAGATCTGTCCTCACCTTCCTGGCCTTCAGGAAGGGCCTTAAAACTTGGTTCTGTTGATTGTCATGAAACTCTGATGGAGAAGCTGGTGGTTGAGCAGTGGTACAGAATGTACCCTCTCCGCCCTGCTCTGAACCTGATTTTTTTTTTTTAGTTTTGTACTTATTGTTTTATTATTTTAATCTGTTTTTACATGTATAATTATTTTTATATCTCGGTTTTTACTATAAGCCTCCCAGAGTCACTTGGACAGTGAATAGAATAGAATAGAATAGAATAGAATAGAATAGAATAGAATAGAACAGAACAGAACAGAACAGAACAGAACAGAATTCTTTATTGGCCAAGTATGATTGGACACACAAGGAATTTGTCTTTGGTGCATATGCTCTCAGTGTACATATGGAGAATAAAATACGTTCATCAATAATAAAAAGATACAACACTTAGTGATAGTCAAGGTAACTAATAAGCTATCAAATCATACTAGGAAACAAATAAAACAATATAAATTGAAAGATACAAGCAACATGGCTATAGTAATAAGTGGGAAGAGATAGATACTAATCAGGAAGAGAAGAATAATAGTCATACAGTCTTAGTAAATTATTTGACAGTGTTGTGGGAATTAGTTGTTAAGCAGAGTGATGGCATTCGGGGAAAAACTGTCCTTGTGTCTAGTTGTTTCGGTGTGCAGTGCCCTATAGTATCTTTTGAGGGTAGAAGTTGAAACAATTTATGTCCAGGATGTGAGGGGTCTATAGATATTTTCACAGCCCTCTTTTTGACTCATGCAGTATACAGATCCTCAATGGAAGGCAGGTTGGTAGCCATTGTTTTTTCTACAGTTCTAATTATCCATTGAAGTCTGTGTTTGTCTTGTTTGGTTGCAGAGCCAGAAAATTTAATAAGTAAAAAACAAACAAAAGACATGGATGGATGTGGTAGAAAAAAGGTTGGTAGAAAAATATGGCCATATACTGTAATTATATAAATGCAGTGTTTATAACAACTAGTTTCAGCAATGTTTTCTTTCCTTTTTCTTATCTCTTGCCTTCAATTCCTTTGGTTTATCCCTTCTTACTTCTCTTCTGAACATCTCAGTCTGATGTTTCCTACCTTGAAACAGAATAAAACGAGGGGCACGTATAGCAAGAAAACAAACAGAACTAAAAATAGTTTTGCATTCACTGGCTTAATTATTACTGGGCCGGGTGGATTGACTCAAAAGCTCATTCGTATTAAGGAGGATTTTAATCTCTTCTGAATATCCCCACTTTGTCTACGTTGGCCCATCACAATATCCCCCTTTATATAATGAACCGTGCCATAAGAACTTGTAAAATCAGAGCCAAATCTTCCGCAGCTGGCAGAAATGTTTTCTTTTCTGTCCTTGGCAAAGTAGGAGAAAATGAATGTCATTTCACAAGGTTTTTGCCCGACTTTCTCCTCAGGCACATCCACGGGGAATGCAGGGAATCCAGCGAAAAACAGAATTCAAAGAAGCTCTGCTTGGTCCAAGTTCTTCATGCACAGGGCAGCCAGGGCAAGCAGCCCAGTCTTTGCCAGTGAAAGAATTGTAACAGAAAACAGAATAACAGAGTTGGAAGGGACTTCGGAGGTCTTCTAGTCCAACCCCCTGCTCGAGCAGGAGGCCTTATATTATTCCAGACAAGTGGCTGTCCAGTCTCTTCTTAAAAGCCTCTAGTGATGGAGCACCCATAACTTCTGGAGGCAAGCCAGTCCACTAGTTAATTGTTCTCACTGTTAGGAAGTTTCTCCTTAGTTCCAGGTTGTTTCTCTCCTTGATTCATTTCCATCCATTGTTTCTTCTCTTGCCATATGGTGCTTTGGAAAATAAGTTTAACCTCTCTCCCACCCACCCCATCCCCTCTTCTTTGTGGCAGCCCCTTAAATATTGAAACACTGCTATCATGTTACCCTCAGTCCTCCTTTTCACTTGACATACCCAATTCCTGCAACCGTTCTTTATATTGCTTGGATATGGATAATAACCACAGAGAAGGAAGAGAAGGTGCCCAATCATTTTGTGCATCATTCTATGCTGGCCACATTGAAACAACTGAATTGCTTCTTGAGGAGGGCTACTAGACGAGTGGGCTTCGAAAATTTTAGCAAGGGGTTCTCTGCCCGGTTGCTGGGTGGGCGTGGCCAAGGTAGGCGTGGCCTAATTGGCCTCCTGCACCATGGCGGGGGGGATGGACGTTTTTGCCCTCCCCGGGCTCCGGAGGGCCTCTTCCCTCTCCCAAATTTCCCTCTCCTGAACTTCTGGTAGGCCCATTTTTCACCCGTCCTGAGCCTCCACACCCACTCTGCACTTACCTGCATCCAAAATGGGCTGCGTGGGGACTCCTGGGAGGGGAGGGACAGATGGGAGCCAGGAGTGGGATTTGGAGTTTCTCTGAACTGCACAGAATCTTAGCTAGAGGTTCTCCCGAATCCCTGTGAACCTCCAGCAACCCATCCCTGATACTAGATCTGGGCTGCAAAAACACAAACAAGCACTAGATAACAGAAAAGAGAACTCTATCCTTTTTACTACCATCAAGTGAGATGTAGATTTTCTGCCGCCCAGATGTCATCACCTCACTATTTCAAGAGTCTGATATATTGAAGAACCTGCTCCTAAATTGCGATTGGTACATATGTGATTATATACACTCTTCTCTCTCACCATTCACGCTTGGTTAAAGATAATACCACTCTGTAAAGCCTTAGAAAGACCACACCTAGAGTACTGTATCCAATTTTGGTCACCACACTATAAAAAAGAAGTCGTTGAGACTCTAGAAAAAGTGCAGAGAAGAGCAATCAAGATAATAAGGGGGCTGGAGGTTAAAACATATGAAGAACAGTTACAGGAACTGGGCATGGTCTAGTGAAGAGAAGGACCAGGGGAGACATGATAGCAGTCTTCCAATATTTGAGGGGCTGCCACAGAGAGGAAGGGGTCAAGCTATTTTCCAAGGCACCCGAAGGCCAGACAAGGAATAATGGATGGAAACTGAACAAGGAGAGATTCAATCTAGAAATAAGGAGAAATTTTCTGACAATGAGAGCAATCAACCAATGGAACAGCTTTCCTTCAGAAGTTGTGGGAGCTTCATCACTGGAAGCTTTCAAGAAGAGACTGGACTGCCATCTGTCAGAAATGGTGTAGGGTCTCCTGCTTGGGTGGGAGGTTGAATTAGATGTCCTACAAGGTCCCTTCCAATCCTGTTAAACTGAATCTAGGTGAAGAAGGGCATCCATTGCAAAACTCATCCATTACACAGATTTAATGCAGCTCACTCCTCTAACAAGGAATAAGATTGCAGTGTCCTTCTGACTCTCCACATAGCTTCCACAGCTGAAGGTCTCCCCCCCACACACACACCTATTTTTTCCTGGTTGATAAAAAACCCCATTAATAGGATGTTTTTTTTTTCCCCCAATAGAATTTTCAAATGCATTGTTATTTACATAAGATGTGAGTCCAAAAAGGCTTTTTCCCAGCTAAAAAGGAAGCGGGACTGCAGTCTTCTGAAACAGAATGGTAAACAACACTAGGAGCCTCAAACAGAACTGATTGCATCTGCAACTTTGCAGCAGCTTCTGGAAAACAAAACGCTCTCCTACCCCTCCATTTCTCCCCCCTTCACCATCTGACCGTTGTCTTACAATAAACAAAAGTAAAATTAGGAACCAAAAAAAAATGTGTAACCCTTTTGTTGCATGCATCAGAACTTTTCTCAAACATACCTAATATTCCTTCCTCCTATTATCTCCAGTACAACAACCTTGTCTTGTGGGTTGGACTGAGAGAAAGGAACTGGTTCAAAGTCACCTAGCTGATATTCACGGCGAAGGTGGGACTTGAACTCATATTTTCCTGGTGATTGGCCCAAAGTCACCCAGTTGGCTTTTATGTCTAAGACAGGGCTGGAACTCACCATCTCCTAGTGCAGGGGTCAGCAACCTGCGGCTCTGGAGCCGCATGTGGCTCTTTCATCCCTCTGCTGCGGCTCCCTGCTGCTGGTTGGCTCCACAATTGATAGTTGTCGGTTAGGACAGGTAGAGGAAAAAGGATGCTGTGCTAGGAGGAGACTCTATGGTGGGGGAACTGGATTTCCAGTCAGCAGAGGAAAAAGGATGCTGCGCTAGGAGGAAACTATGATGGGGAAACCGGACTTCCGGTTGGCTCCAGAATTGAACTGAGGCTTCCGGTTAGGACCTTTGGGGCTCTTTGAGTGTTTAAGGTTGCCAACCCCTGTCCTAGTGATTGGCCCAAAGTCACCCAGCTGACTTTCATGGCTAAGGCGGGACTAGAACTCACATCTTCTTGGTGATTGGCCCAAAGTCACCCAGTTAGCTTCCATGCCTAAAACGGGACTAGAACACAGGGTCTCCTTGTTTCTAGACCAGCGTTTCTCAACCTTGGCCGCTGGATGATGTATGGACTTCAATTCCCAGAATTCCCCAGCCAGCATAGCTGGCTGGGGAATTCTGGGAGTTGAAGTCCACACATCGTCCAGCGGCCAAGGTTGAGAAACACTGTTCTAGACTGAAGCTAGTCACTAGATCAGTTTCTGCTCTGTTCCCAGCACTTTCTTAAGCCAGTAATGAATTCCTGAGATCTAAATAATCATTTCTAAGCTTCAGATGGGAAGCAATCGGCTTATTAACTACAATTTTTGACCACATGGCCTATAGAAATAATCTTTCATTGATGAATTGGGAATCCAATGATGGGTTCCCAGGAGAACCCACCCCCAACAGCCCCCCTCCAGAAAGAAAAGGAAGAAGATAAATCCTTTCTTAATGAAATGGCCTTTAAATGAATATGTCCAGAAGAAGCCTCCCATAGAGGAGAAACAAATAGAGCCTGGAAGGACAGGTTAAAGGTGTTCAAAGTCAGTTTATTCATTGAAGCCATATCGGCTTCTGGATTTTCTACAGCAAGATTTTGAAAAATGCAGTTTTTCCATGAAATTTGTGACATGTGGCTGAGCCCATGCTTTTATGCAGAAAGTCTCAAGGGCAATACTGGCATCTCCAAAGTTACTTTCTCTTTCTTTCTTTCTTTCTTTCTTTCTTTCTTTCTTTCTTTCTTTCTCTCTCCCTCCCTCCCTCCCTTTCTTTCTTTCTTTCTTTCTTCCTTCCTTCCTTCCTCCCTCCCTCCCTTTCTTCCTTCCTTCCTTCCATCCTCCTTCCCTCTTCCTTCCTTCCCTCCTCCCTCCCTCTTCCTTCCTTCCTTCCTGCCTTCCTTCCGTCCTTCCTTCTTCCTTCCTCCCTCCCTCCCTCCCTCTTTCTTCCTTCCTTCCTTCCTCCCTCCCTCCCTCCCTTCCTCCCTCCTTCCTTCCTTCCTTCCTTCTTCCTTCCTCCCTCCCTCCCTCTTTCTTCCTTCCTTCCTTCCTTCCTTCCTCCCTCCCTCCCTCCTTCCTTCCTTCCTTCTTCCCTCTCTCCCTCCCTCCCTCCTTCTTCCTTCCTTCCTTCCTTCCTTCCTTCCTTCCTTCCTTCTTCCCTCCCTCCCTCCCTCCCTCCCTCCTTCTTCCTTCCTTCCTCCCTCTCTCCCTCCCTTCCTCCTTCCTTCCTTCCTTCCTTCCTTCCTTCCTTCCTTCCTTCCTTCCTTCCTATGTCTGGACTTCAAATGGCTGGGGGAATTCATGCTGACTGAGAGTTGAAGTCCATTCAGCTTAACGTTGCCAAGGTTGAGAAATACCTATTTAGATCCATCAGCTCTTCAATAGATCCACTCAATTAACAGGTTACCAAATTGATTTTATGACTTTACAATGGTCATAAAGCAAACCACTACGATCATTAAGTGAATCATAAGTGGTTGTTAAATGAATCTAGCTTCCCCAGTGTTAATGTTAATGTTAATTTTATTTATATACCGTCCTTCTCCCCAAGGACTCGGGGTGGTGTACAGCCAATTTAAAAACATAAATATACAGACATCATCATTAAAAGTAATTAAAATCAATTAAACAGTTTCGGCCAAAATTTAAAACCCCAAGTTAAAACTCCAATTTAAAAACCACTTAAATAGACAGCCCCGCCTATCGGAACAGTAGGGTCTTGAGGGCACAGCAAAAAACATGGAGGTCAGGGATTGTATGTATTTCCGGTGGCAGTTCGTTCCAAAGGGTGTCGCCAGCCGGCATAATTTGGCCGACGGCACCCTGAGGAGTCCCTCTCTGTGGGAGCGAACTGGTCAGTGGGAGGCTATTGGTGGCAGAAAGTGGACTTTTCTTGCATTTTTGGGGGGCCAGAAACGAGCAAAAAAAGTCCCAAATCATGACCACATGATCACAGGACACTATAATCAATCATAAATGTTGCCAAGTGCATGAATTGTGATCATGTAACTGTAGGGGTGGTGTGTTGGTCATAAGTGCAAATACAGGTCATTGTGACTTTAAAACCATTGTTAAATGAACAGTCGTAAGTCAAAGACTACCTTTATTCCATGAGAAGAACACCACACCTTGAACATAGAAAGCCATGTATTGCCTGAATGATGGGAGAGGGAGGAAGGTAACTGGCATTACAGGACAGATTCCTATGCAAAATTGTCCAGTTTCTCTTGAAATCCAAGCCAAAGAACCATGAATGTAAGTCTTATCATGGCAGCCCAGATAGAAAACAGGCATACTAAGAATTTTGAGTAATTAAATTTATTGCAGTAAACTAAGAATTACAAAAAAAACAACAACCCCACTTTAGCTATCTTTCTTGTGACTCTGCCACTTATTAACACTTTCTGGTTTCCTTCTGGCTCTGCAAAGAATTTCCTGATGATCTCTCTCTCTCTCTCTCTCTCTCTCCCTCCCTCCCTCTCTCTCTCTCTCTCTCTCTCCCTCTCTCTCTTTTCATTTACTTATCGCTAAGTCTTCCATCTGCCTCCCATCCAGGGGTGGGCTGCTGGGGGTTCACAGGGGTTTAGGAGAACCTCTAGCTAAGATTCTGTGCAGTTCCGAGACCCCCCAAATCAGTGGCGGGTTCCAACCGGTGTTACTACCGGTTCTCTTCGCGCACGTGCTTTGCGCACAATCGCTGCATGCATACTCACTTCACTCGCACATGCACCGATCTTGCGCTTCGCGCAAGCGTATTAAGTTTCTGGCCAGCTGAGGTGCGACAATCCACTCTGCCGTGCCTATCAGCTGGGCAAAAACCAAAAAATAAAGATAGGAATAAAGCAGGGGTGGGCGGGAGAGCCCAGCTCCCAGTCACAGAGAACCAGTTCGGTAACGTCACATTGTCACCTCTACTGGCTCGGCTGAACCGGGCCGAACCGGGAGCAACCCACCACTGCCCCAAATCCCACTCCTGGCTGGCCCCACCCACCCCACTCCACCCCTCCCAGGAGTCCCCTTGTGGCCTGTTTTGAGTGCAGGTAAGTGCAGGGTGTGTGTGGAGGCTCGGGGAGGGTTTAAAACGGGCCTACCAGAAGTTCGGGAAGGCCAGAAATGGGCCTGGGGGGGCCTTTTTCGCCCTCCAGGAGGCTCAAGGCAAGCCTCTAGAGCCCAGGGAGGGCAAAAACGCCCTCCTGCTGCGTGACTAGGCCACGCCCACCATGGCCATGCCCACCCAGCAACCAGGCAGAGAACCCCTTGCTAAAAAATTTTGAAGCCTGCTCCCATCATCTTCCTTGCCCCTATGACTGGACCACAAGAAGTCCTGACTAGATTGGTGACCCCCAAAATGTGGGCTTTGGCAGAAAAAAAGAAAGAAATCTGGTCATTTCCTGATGATGGGAATGGGTCACAAGGAACTGAGCATGTTGGGGGGGGGAATGAAGAAAGGGATTGATTCAGACAGTGATGTCTGCACTCTGCAGGACTCTGTACTTTTGTCGAAATGAAGAAAACCCTGAGGCATATAGCAAGCTACAAGGGGCAAGGAAGGGGGCGAAGGCTCGTATTGTGACACCCAACTTGGCTTTCCTCACCCTAAACCCTTTTCTGGCTTTCAAACCTCGTGCAAACAGCACTCTTTTCTGCTCTCGCTAAAATAGCTTGACTTTTTTACAGGTTTCCACATGAGCTAAGATATATATATATATATATATATATATATATATATATATATATATATATATATATATATATATACACATACACATACATACACACACACAATATATATGGTTCTCTGTTAAGGAATCCACTCATTAAAGTTAATGCAGCAATCCTTTATTTTTCAGTTCGCAAGGAAGCCTGGAAAAAGTCAAGCCACTTTAATGAACAGCCGAGAGGTGCTGTTTTTGCATGACATCAAAAGCCTTCCTTCTGAATAATTTCTGAAGCACGCACAGCTTGCTTATTTATTTATCGCATTTGTAAGGCTGGCCAACTCCATAGCAACTCTGGGCAGATTACCTTACTTACCTACTTACCTTGACACTGCTTAGCTTAATAGAGGGTTAAAAACCTGGGGGGGGGCTGCATGAAAAATAGAACAGAGAGCAGCCCTGCAGAATTGAGGGAGTGTGGGGAGGGCGATCAGGGCGGGCGAGATATAGATACATATATACAGAAACACACATACACACACACACATATATCACAGGGAGGACCAGTGGTGGGATCCTCCCGGTTTAACAACCGGTTCGGTGATCGCGCGATTTGCGTTCGCACATTTTGCGCTGGCCCACGCCTAATGCGCACTGCACAGTTTGAAGAAATCTTCACTTCCTGGTTTCTTCGGAGAAGTAACACAGCTGATTCACGCGGCAATCCACTCTACTGCGCGAATCAGCTGAGAAGATAAAGGTAGGAAAATAGCGCGAGCGGGTGGATGGGCCCGTCTGATCATCAGAGCGAACCAGTTCACTCCCAACTGATCGTCGGCGCTATTAGCTTTCCCGAACCAGTCCGAACCGGTAGAATCCCACCCCTGGGTAAAACAACTAGCCTTCGATTGCAAAAGTGCAGACAATCACCGAGGGCAGTGAAGATATCACAATTGGGTGCTGTAATTCTTTGCTCCATCTAAGGGATCTCTTGAATTGGTGCAGCTCCGCCGTTTGCAAGAAGTTGCAAGAAGGAAAGAGGGAGACGGATGTGAAAAGGGGAAGGGAAATGCTAAATCTCTCCTCAATCCATCCATGTTGTCTTTGACCTTGACTGGGTCGCTTTTTCCGCTCTCCCATTGTTCTAAATTTTTTTAAAAAATATCCTCCAAGTGGAGTTGATCTCTGCAACAAAACCAGGGTAACTTCAGATATTCGTGATGGCCAGCCATTGCATTGTTTACTTGGGGAGAAAAGTAGAATGAATCAAGCATGTTCTTGAGATGAAGAGAAGCCAGGAAATCTAGAGGGAACAAGATGATAGAGGACTTCCAACTTTTGAGTGTTCCGGCTCAGTGGAGCCTTTTAAACACACACACACACAAATGCACACAAGCTTGTCTCACAGAGTTCCACCAAGCAGTTCAGAAGCCTTATTGCATTCCAGATGGTGGACAATGAGATGGCAAGGGATGGATGGAAGCTTCTGAGACATTGTTTGTTGTGTGATTTGCAGCAGCACATGGGACAACCTGCTGCCTTCCAGATGACTGTGATCCTTTGCTAAATGACACCCTTCCAGCTACACAGTCAAAAGTTAACTCACTTCTTTGTCTGAAAAGAAATTATGGCAGCTTAAGTGCTTGGAGATAAAGTCTGAAGAACTGAAGGTAAGGAAAATTAAGAGAGCCAGTCTAGTGTAGTGGTTAAGGCTTTGGGCTAGAAGCAGTGGTGGGATTCAGCCAGTTCGCACCACTTCGGGAGAACCGGTTGTTAACTTTCTGATCAGTTTGGCAAACTGGTTGTTAGAAGAAATCATTAGAGCAGAGAACCGGTTGTTAAATTACTTGAATCCCACCACTGGCTAGAAGCCAGGAGACCATGAGTTCTAGTCCTCCATTAGGCATAAAGCCAACTGGGTGGCCTTGGGCTGATCTGATTAGGGGACTGGAGACTAAAACATATGAAGTATGGTTACAGGAACTGGGCATGGCTAGTGAAGAGAAGCTAGTCTAGTGAAGAGAAGGACCAGCAGAGACATGTTAGCAGTGTCCCAATATCCTTCCCCTGGAGTGGGGTGGGAATGGAGATTTTGCAGTATCCTTCCCCTGTCACGCCCACCAAGCCATGCCCACCAAGCCATACCTTGCCCACCAAGCCATGCCCACAGAACCGGTAGTAAAAAAAATTGGATTTCACCACTGCTCTATTCCCAACCCACTCTGGGGCCAGCCAGAGGTGGTATTTGCCAGTTCTCTGAACTACTCAAAATTTCCGCTACCGATTCTCCAGAACCTGTAAGAACCTGCTGGTTCTTACTTTCAGCCCTAGAAAGCCAATATGGCAAACCACCCCTGAAAAAACTCACCAAGAAAATTGCAGGGACCAGCCAAGGCAGCTGTCAGGATTCAACATGGATTCAAAGACACAAAAGAAATAGATGGGAGGGGGAAATTGGGGAGAAATGGGATGAAAAGCATTCCTAATCATTCTGAAGGTATTGGAGGTGCAAGGAAGCATTATGGGAATCCAGGAGTATTCAAACGTGAACATGCCAGCTTTAAAATATCAATCTCATGACAGGAGCTGCTGAGCTGAATTTAAATTGCCATCTCTAACCAATGGGGAGCTTTTGAGTAGTAGAAAGTGGGCACAGTATGTTCCAAGCTTTTATATAACTTTCCAAGAATGCTCTGCAGAATGACAAAAATGTGTTCCTTTCCTTTTCAAAAAGCAAACCTCACTTTTCCCCCCACCCCACCCTAATATAAATGCTTGATCAGAGGATAAAAACAGCACCATCTATTGTTTTAATTTCAGAACATAACTGGAATGGAATAATTCATCGAAACATGCACAGGAAGAATGTTAGACTGAGTTTTCTGAACATCCCTTTGTGTTTAGTTTCAACTCTTGGCTGGAGGTTTTGAGAAGAGGAAATAGCATCAACATCCTTTTGGGCTTCTGACTGTGCAGAAGTCAATTCCTTCTCAATGTGCACATAGAAAGGTTGCCATAAAATTCTGCTTTACTAAAGAATGGGGGTTGGGGGATCAAGTTTCTGGCTGAACATGACAGTGACTATCTTGGCACATCCAGATGGGGTCAGAGATATTGGTTTGATGTATGATTTTAGGTTAGGATTCTTAATGAAATGCTATGGGGATAGCTTGCCCCACTGCCTTCTTTTTATTAAAATTCTTTTCATAAATATAATTAAGAAGATCCATGCTACAATGAAAGCAGAAGCTTATTTCTGCGTTTATTTCCCAGAAGGCATGTCTATGGAGCTTCTCAGTCATCCAGATCATGGTTGTCCCAAAGGTGCTTTTTCAGGAGGCAACTGGACTTTCTGGTTTTTCTTTGAAGACATTTTCGCTTCTCATCCAAGAAGCTTCTTGGAGCTGAAGAAGCTTCTTGGATGAGAAGTGAAAAAGCGTCTTCAAAGAAAAAACAGAAAGTCCAGTTGCCTCCTGAAAAAGCACCTTTGGGATTCCCAAAATGTTCATTTGGAATTTGGGCAGTAGCACGCTGGCTGGGGAATTCTGGGAGTTGAAGTCCACAAGTCTTAAAAGTCGCCTAGCTTGGAGACCCCTGCTCTAAGGCACTCTTTTGCCTTGGGCATGAGAAAAGATCCTAAGGCAGATGAATCGGGGGTGAAATCCAGCAGGTTCTGACAGGTTCTGGAGAACCGGTAGCGGAAATTTTGAGTAGTTCGGAGAACTGGCAATTACCACCTTTGCCTGGCCCCAAAGTGGGGTGGGAATGGAGATTTTGCAGTATCCTTTCCCTGCCACACCCACCAAGCCACACCACGCCCAGCAAGCCACACCCACAGAACCAGTAGTAAAAAAAAATTGAATTTCACCACTGAGAGTAATCAATGTGATTTTGCCAACAGCACAGAAAAGACAGGGGCTTCATTCCATCTTTCTGCCCCATAGTAAATCAGGAGTAAGAGCAGACCCAGTAGAGACTCATGGTCAACAACCTCCTGGGAATGGAAATGTGGATTTGACAATAGCATCTGCTGTACATGAAAGGTCAGTGAACTTCCTTGCTTCCATCCTTTTGCTAAAATAACTGTGTGCAGTGCTGCTAAATGAGATCAGCATGCATTTTTTTATCCCTCTTTAAAAGCCTGCCTTTGTTATTCTAACACACGAGGCATTTTACACCCATTCTCTGCGACTGACCTAAGGCCCTGGTTAAAAAGCTGAGAAAAATGTAAAGTGCATCCTTTTTTTTATAGAAAGAAAAGGCAATGTACTTTGTTGTCTTTTATGGGTGGCATGAAAGAGGTCAAGAGACATTCTGCCTATGCAAATTGTGGAAGGAGAGACTTGCTGTGATGGCTATGCCAGCAATGCACCTCTTGGAAATGGCTTTTGTGAAGTCCCCCACTTCGAAGAACAAAAAGGAGGAAGCAGGTTGCTTCAGGTTGTTTCCTGCTGCTCTTCTCTGTAGGCCCTCTTCCCAACACGCTACTGTCAGGCCTGGAAGCCATCTTTTGCATAAGATCTTCAGGCCTGCCACATTTACTACTGTGGGAAACTGGGAGGGGGGATTGTATGGGGCAAGGGTGATATACAGTCATAATAACATTCCTTTCTCAGAGAGTCAAGGACATCTTGCCCTGCACCTAGAAGGCTAGAACTGGGAGGCATCTTCAGTTGGGACAGTGTTTGATTGGACCATTTGATAGACATGTCAGTGCTGGGCAGGGACTTGGACTTTCCTTTGGGTGGGGAAAACCTGGAAGCTTTCAGATTTGGGTTTTCCCAGATGTGCCAATATGGCATCTCTAATAAAATGGAACTTTGAGGAAACTCAAGCCTCGGAGTCTTCTTTCGTTGGGGGTGTTACTTGGAACCCTGACAGCTACGGCCAACTCACCATAGCCAACTCACTGCACCCATCTTGCCATGGCCAACTCACTGCAGGAAAAACTCACCACAGCCGACTCACTGCGGGATAACTCACCACATGACAATTCAATAATTCATGTTAACTATTTAAAAAAAATTTTTTTTTAAATTTTTTTTTGTGATTTGCATTTCGTTTTGTCCCTCCTTTGGTATCCTTTCTTTAATGAGTCTATTCCACCATTTCTTTGATATTAGTGTAACTCTCATCCCATGGTGAGTTGGCCTGCAGCAAGTTGGCTGGGGTAATGCGTCTCACTATGAGTTGGCCATGGAGGTCATGGAGAGTTGGCCATGGCAAGTGGACTATGGCAAGTTGGCCACGGCAAAGCCAGCAGTGTCTTTTCCATATGTGTGATGCCTGCACATCTTTTTCCAGCTTTTGCAAATAAAAAGAAAGAGACATGGGGAGGGTTTGAGATGAGGACTTCGTAAAGGAAATTTGTACTGTTGTTTTGCTTCGGCATTCCTTCCATAACCAAGCTCTTCCTTCAGGCAAATCTAAGGCTTCTCACTCAGGCCTCGCTTGTTATTAATTTCATAAAGCATATTTCTGACATCTCCAGACTTCGTGCCTTTGTTCTTATTGGATGCTTTCCAATATATTGTGCTAGTTCCAGGGAAATGTTTCCATAATCTATTCTGTCTTCTTAATAGACTGAGAAGAGGTCATTTTTGGTACAAAAGCAGAAGTGTTGATATCTCTGATTATTCTAGGAATCACCACACCTCCCACTGTTCCCACAAAAAGGAATAAGCAATATGGTTCCCAACAAATCCACTTTGTCCAACAACAATTTTCTTGCTGCCTGCCAGACGTTCAGGTCCAAATGTCTTTAACATTTTAAAAGATTCTTTTAATTAGAAATAAGTAGATTGAAAGCTGGCATCTTGCAGAAAGAAGTACCTGCCTGTCTTTACTTCCAGAAATGCATTTGTATACAAACCCCAGGTCCTACAGATATTGCTAGAAAATAAAGATGGTGGATAGTTGCAAGAAATGTTTTGCTGGAAATTATATCCACCTACCACACCCAATATATTAGGATATATTAGAAAGTATCCTGTAGAATTACTCCTATTTTTAGGAGTATAAGATGCACCTTTTTACCCCCAAAAAGAGGGTGAAAATCTGGGTGCATTTTATAGTCCAAATGTAGCCCTGCCCTGCTCTGAAAGGAAAGTTTCAGAGGCTGAAAAAAGTTTCTGAAACATCCGTTTGACAGGCTGGGAAAAAAAGCCTCCGAAATGGAGGTTTCAGAGGCTGAAAAAAAAGCAAGGCGCGGAGGTCACAACCAACGAACCTGTTGCTAAAGTTCACCTTTGGGAACAGCTGATTGGGGGTATTCCGGGAGGCCGATCCATCCACCAATCAGCTTTTTTCTTATTTTCCTCCCCAAAAACTAAGGTGCGTCTTATAGTCCAAAAAATACGGTAAATGGTGAGACGACGGAGCATATAAAGTTTTAGAAAAATAACGTGTTTAGAAAGTCTTTTCAGCAACCATTTTAAATGTCTCTAACATACGCTCAAAAGAATAAATCTGCTCCAAAAGATTGCTTACCCTATTATGTTAAGACCAGAAAGCATCTCAGTAATGTATCCTACTTCTCCTGCCCACCTACGGTAATTTGTCTGGACTTTACAGATTCCAAGCTGATTGCATCCATCAAGGAGTTTTATTTACTAAGAATGTGCAATGCTCTCGCTGTGTTCACACAATACACTAAACCAGGTGAGCTGTGTACTAATAGCTGCATGTATACAATGTACCAATTGGGTGACTTTCGCTTTTCTGGATCTTATCCTATTATAGAAAATAAACACAACGTAAAACAGATACTTGATATAGAATTCATTGAATTGTGGAAAGCCCCAGAATGGATGAATTCACCAACCTAGTTATTATGAATTGAAATCCATTCACACCTGATCCTTAGTATTTGTATGTGCTTTGCAGTTTCATTGACTTCTGCTCCATTCTCCATTCTCTCCTTACCCAACTTTTATGCTCTGCAAGGCTGTAAGTTCTCAATTTCAGACGAAGTCTAGTAGATTTGTGGATGACTCGTAATGAGATTCAAATAAGTTGGCATCACTATAAGTGTTCAAGTGTCAACGGGCCATTTCGGGCAGTCAAAGACTCAAACATACAGGTTGAGGTCACCCCAACGTCTGCTTAGTTAGAGCTCTCTGAGAGAGCTGTCACTCTTGCTTTGGAAGTGGCGAGATTGAGTTGCAAATTTACTGAGACATTTAGTTTCAGTGGCTGATAAATTTCATATTCATAAAAAATAAATAGATATGAGGCCTATGTCTTAAACTGCCCAGCACTTACACTGTGGGAACATGGAATCGTAATCGTGCACTTTCACAAGGTCAAATAACATTAGCTCTTTGATATGTCTTTACTAAAGCCACTGATTCTAATTTCATACATTGAAGGCCACACGGGAGCTGGAAGCGAGAAAGAAGAAAGAAAAAAAATAGTACCCAAATACCTTTATGTGAAATGCATTTATTTGGGGGTTATTGTTTTTTTTTTCCTGACGTCAGAAAAGCAGCCGTAATAAAAACTATAGTAAATGTGTAGGGATTTTTTTAAAGTTTGTTTTTTTCAATTTTTAGAAACTTTTAAATTCATTAAAAGCTGGCACTAGGTTTGGAAATGGTCTAGGGAATAAATGACCTCTCATTACAACTGCATTTATCTGTTCCCATTTGTTCTTGTAGCAAGACATATCAGAGAACCACTGGCAATTACAACGATTTGATGATACTCCTATTAATGTCAAGAGCAAATTTCCCTGCTGACTTGAGTTGGGAAAATGTTTGTCCTGTATTTTAAAATTAAGAAAAAGCAGAGGTATTACTGGGGAAGGGGAGGACTAGAAATGGAAGGAAATTATGCTTGTTTGTTTGTTGTGGCATTTCTACACTGCCAATTCTACATGGACCGCTAGCAGTTTATAAATCACTGAAAGCATCTAATATAAAATGAGCAACATTCCATTAAAATTACAATAAAGTTCATCCCATCGCGGCCACTTCATGGCAACATCATAGATCTAATGCGCCTCCTCTCAGTTCTATTTTCATTCCCTGAAGTTCACCAAGGACGACACCATTGGGGTCTATACTGCATCCAGTTTTGGTCACCACAAAACTTCTATAAAAGAAGATGTTGAGACTCTAGAAAAAGTACAGAGAAAAGCAACTTCTCTGGAAGAGGACTGGAGACTAAAACATATGAGGAATGGTTACAAGAACTGGGCATGGCTAGTCTAGTGAAGAGAAGGACCAGGGCAGACATGATAGCAGTGTTCTAATATTTGAAGGGCTGCCACAGAGAGGAAGGGGTCAAGCTATTTTCTAAAGCACCTGAAGGCCAGACAAGGAATAATGGATGGAAACTGATCAAGGAGAGATTCAACCTAGAAATAAGGAGAAATTTTCTGACAGTAAGAAAAATCAACCCATGGAACAGCTTGCCTTCGGAAGTTGTGGGGAGCTTCATCACGGGAAGCTTTCAAGAAGAGACTGGACTGCCATCTGTCAAAAATGGTGTAAGGTTTGCTGGATGGGGGGTTGGTCTAGATGACTTACAAGGTCCCTTCCAACTCTGTTAATATGTTAATCTGTCTCCAATGGAAGGCTATTCCATAAGGATGGAGCAATACAGACAAATATCTTAGCCTTTATTTCTCCAACTTCACAAAGGCAAAAGGGAAGAAAGACTTTTGACACAGCTCGCAAAAACTCCATGAATTTAGGCTGCCAAGAAACTGACATTCTGATAAACCAGTAGTGGAAATTTTGAGCAGTTCAGAGAACCGGCAAATACCACCTCTGGCTAGTCCCAGATTGGGGTGGGAATGGAGATTTTGCAATATCCTTCCCCCAGGAGTGCGGAGGGAATGTGGATTTTGCAGTATCCTTCCCCTGGAGTGGAGTAAAAATGGAGATTTTGCAGTATCCTTCCCCTGCCATGCCCAACCAAGCCACACCACACCCACCAAGCCACGCCCATAGAACCGGTAGTAAAAAAAAATTGGATTTCACCACTGCTGTAAACCATTTAGAGAGGGCTGTAAAACCTGTGAAGTGGTATATAAGTC